ACAGAAGGACAAATATTGTATAAGACCACTATTATAAGAACTCAAGAAAAGGTTTAGACACAGAAGAAAACATTCTTTGATGGTTATGAGGTGGGGAGGGTAAGGGTTATTTACTAACTAGATAGTAGATAAGAATTATCTTAGGTGAAGGGAAGGACAGCACACACTACAGGGGGAGTCAGCACAACTGGACTAATCCAAAGCTAAGAGGTTTCCTGAATACAATCAAACACTTTGAGGGACAGAGTAGCAGGGGTAAGAGTCCGGGAACAATGCTTTCAGGGGACATCTAGCTCAACTGGGATAACAAAGCATATTATGAAAATGTTCTGCATCCTAGTTTGGTGAGTGGCATCTGGGGTCTTAAAAGCTTGCAAGCTGCATCTAAGATGCATCAATTGGTCCCAACCACCTGGAGTAAAGGAGAATAAAGAACACCAAAGACACAAGGAAAGTAGTAGCCCAAGAGACAGAAAGGGCCACATAAACCAGAGACTTCATCAGCCTGAGACCAGAAGAACTAGATGGTGCCCGACTACCACCAATGACCGCCATGACAAGGAACACAACAGAGAGTCCCGGATGGAGCAGGAGAAAGGTGGGGTGCAGAACTCAAATTCCAGTAAAAAGACCAGACTTAATGGTCTGAATGAGACTGGAGGAACCCCAGAAAGCATGGACCCTGGATTCTCTATCAGCCCAGAACTAAAACAATTTCCGAGGCCAACTCTTAACAGAGGGATTGGACTGGACTGTGGGACATAAAGTGATACTCGTGAGGAGTGTGCCTCTTAGCTCAAGTAGATACAAGAGACTAAACGGGCAGCTTCTGTCCAGAAGTGAGATGGGAAGGCAGAAAGGATTAGGAGCTGGTTGAATGGACATGGGGAATCGGGTGGAAACAAGGAGTGTGCTGTCACAGTACCGGGAGAGCAATTAGGGTCACATAACAATGTATGTATAAATTTTTGTATAGGAAAAAATAAAAATAAAAAAGTTGAGTTAAATTTAATTAAATTGTTTTTAGTACAATTTGAATTTTGCAACCTCTCAGGTTTTTTTTTTTAATAATCTTTTAGTTGTATCATGGATCCTTATTGCCCAATAAGGAATCAGGTAAAATTCAAATGTCTCAATTATGTCAAATATTAACTAATTTTCATAAAAAGCATTTGAAATAATATCAAGTGCTTCAGAGAAAGAGAAAATCAACCCCTGACATCCAGGAGCTTGCCTGGTGCTCTCAACCAGGCCCCAGTGGTGCTATGAGCTGGTCCAGCGGCACTCACCACTCACCGCTTGGCCTCGGTGTTCTTCTGTTGAACATAAACTACTTCACAGAATTTCAGCCTGAGACAGGGCCACTCTATGGTCATGATGGATCAAGACAAAATCAAGACTACTCGTAATCATGGCTGAACACAGACAAAGTATAAATATCTAAACCACAAAAATGACCAAACACCCTCCCATCCTGGCTAATATAAATGACTGCTGCTTCTTTACCAATTACAGCTTTGGTCTCGCTCTAGCCTGTCTTCCTTTTAGATAAGATTAATATTAAGATGGAGCCCTGGTGGTATAGTGGTTAAGCGCTCAGCTGCTAACCAAAAGGGCTGCAGTTGGAACCCACTAGCCGATCCACAGGACAAGGGTGTGGCAGCCTGCTTCCGTAAAGATTACAGCCTTGGAAACCATATAGGACAGTTCCACTCTGTCCTGTAGGGTTACTATGTGTCAGAATTAACTCGATGGCAATGTTTTTTGTTTTGTTTTTTAATACTAAGACACCCAATCATAGAAATGTCCCTGACAGCACCCAATGCAGAGCAATTCCTTGCTCACCTGGACACTCCCCCAAGTCATCTCATCAAAGCCTATTAATTCTTTCTAACACCCTCTTACTGAAAGGGTCAATGTTCTCCCTTGATGCAATGAGTAATAAATCCAACTTGTTCACTACAGTTCTCCTTGGTGGTCTTTAGCTGGAGGGCACTGGCAATCCAATTATACTTTGTATCTAAGAATCTATGGTAATAATTTAGAATAATTTGTTTAAATCCTCATTTAATATCTGAAGATGTAATAACCTAGTTTTCTTAAAAAATAAAGTTTATATTTCAATTACAAAAGTAATATACATAATTGGAGAAATCTCAGAAATATGTTAAAGTAGAAAGAGAGAAATAAGCTACAAATAATAAACAACCAGAAGAAGATAAACATAGGAAAATGTTTTCTGTATTTAATAAACTTCTGACCATACCATACATATAATTTTCGAGCCTACTTTTTTCTCTTAACATCATGAATGGGTATTTTCCCTATTATTTTATAAGCTTTACAAATTTAATTTTTGTAGGTACAGAGTATTTCACGGTATATAAACAATCCTATTTTGTTTTAGATTTAGATGTTCAGTTTTTCACTATTACAAGTAATGCTATGCCAAAATACATGTTTAAAAATGTTTACTGTAGCATTTATGTAAGAAATCTTAGAAAAAAACCTATGTTCTTTTAGTACTAGAATTGGTAAATTATGATACAGCCATACTATGAAAAATTTTGCTGCCATTAAAAAAATTAGGATGATCCCCATATACTGAAAATACAGGAAAAATTCTGCCAGATTAAACAGGAAATTATAAACAGTGGTTACCTCTCTTTGTTTGCGGGCAGAAAGGTGAAGAAATTTTTATTTTATTATGTGTTTACTTTAATTTTACAGCCTACATTATTTTTGTATTTTTTTAGGAAACACCATAGAATGAAAATTAGTGAATAATGCTTTAATACACATCTGTTTACACAATCCCTATTTTGGATAGAAACCTAGAGGTAGTTTCAAAGGATCAGTAGATATGAATACTTAAGATTTAAAATTTTTAAGGCAAAAGAGATTTTGTATTTTTAAAATTTGATAGGAAATTATTTTCTTAAAATTACCTGAAGTGTTGCTATGGTTAAAATATTCAACTTGTTTTTGTTTATTCTGAGATGTGTCACATGTAAGAATTTGTAAAGTATCTGAGAATCTGAAAAAGAAAATATGTAAAAGAAAAAATTAACATATAATAGTTAAGGAAGTATGGTTCTAGAAAGGAAACTGAATTCCAAATAAGTTCCATATTAAAATTCTTTCCTCAACAGCTTTTTGTTCTAGGACATTTTTGCCACATTTACCCATAAAAGCACCATTCCTACGCAGATAAAAAAAAGTGTAGGCTGCTGACTGTTTAAAATACTTTACTTAATTACATAGTGAAATCAGAGGACTCTAGGATTGCTGAAGCTATTGACTGAAGTAGAAATTCTGTTCCTGAGGCCTTGAAATTTTTTTACAATAACTTAAAAGGTGTGATATAATAGGAAGAAATTATTTTATTTTTATGAGCACAAAGGGAAAAATGGATTAAAATTAACTGAATGAAAGGTACATTCATAATCATATAGAATTTAATTTAGCCTGCCTTTCAGGAAGAAAAATAGCCGGTATTTATTTGGATACACACAAAAAAATTAAGATGACCCTATTCAGTAGAACCTTCCACTTCTGTGCGATCAATACTAAGACAGCAAAAAGAAAAATGTATGGGATTTGGTAATCAGGAGAGCAATCTTCTAATTCAGGCTGCGCTACAGGCCAACCATGTTGCTTTTCCCACATATGACAGAAATAATGTGGCCTTATTCCGGTGCCAACAACGATTACATAAATTTTATAACTCTATTACTATTATACTACCTCTGCCACCACCCCACTAACAACATTTACTGAGCATACCATTGCCAGGCACTACTCTTAATGTTTCACAAACCAAAAAAAAAAAAAACAAACCCGTTGCCATCGAGTCGATTCCGACTCATAGCGACCCTATAGGATAGAGTAGAAGTGCCCCATAGGGTTTCCAAACAGCAGCTAGTAGATTCGAACTGCTGACATTTTGGTTAGCAGCTGTAGCTCACCATAGCTCTTAAACACTGCTCCACCAGGTACGGTTTAAATATATCAAAACAACCTCATGAAACAGATGTTATTATTATTCCCATTTTAAAGGTGAGAAAACTAAGACTTTGCCTTTGCCTCTGAGATATGATATGAAAGTAACTCAAACAGTACAGAGATAGATACATGAAGAAAAATAATCCATCTTCCCACCCTCCTGGTTAACCACTGTTAACTGTGTATATCCTGACACAACTTTCCCTACAGTAATGTATTTTAAACATTTATTATTAATACCTAAAGCATTTTATTTAAAATTGTATCTAAGGAAGGCATAAAGGAAAGAATTCTAGAAAGTTAATGGCACATTGGTTCAATCCTTAACCACAAGTTTGGGGCTGACAAAATCAGTTGTCAGCCGAGAATGAATAGGAATGAAGGCAAATATTCCTGTTGAAAGATGTCTCTCATACTTTTTTAAAACGACCAAATGGGAACTTAAATGTTCAGCAGTAGAACTGACAATAAATTAGAGTATATCAATATAATAAAATTATATAGGCATTAAAAGTTGTATAACAATTAATTGTTGACAAATTATTAACTTGGCAAAATATCCATGATATAATGTTGAGCAGAAAAAAAGGTGACATAACTATATAATCATCTCAATAAACACTTTGAAGGAGCTATGTAAATTACATGTATGTATGTGTACATGTGAAAAGAAAAGGAGGCATTAGTAATTATATTACCAAATGCAATAAAGTTTTTATTTTCTTCTTTATAGATGTGATAACCATTCTAGAAAAACAAGAAAATACATAAAATCATAAAAACACATAAAGAGAAAATGAAATGGTTAAAAAATATCTTTTACTATTATTTTTCAGTTAATGGAGAAAAAGAACAGTTAACCTAGAATTTAAAGAACTGACTTTTTTTTATTAAGATGGAATGAATTTACACATTTCACTTTATTAATATACTGTGCCATTCACTGCTTATTAAGTATTCATAAGTACACAATGGTTTAATTCTGGTACTATATTACCTGACATTGCTGACCAAAGAAGAGAGGAAATAATGATTTTCTTCAGAAATATTCTTTGATTGCATAGGAAAAAATTTGTTATCTTCAGCAACCTCCAAAGCCACGTGCTTTCCTATTTTCGATGATTTATACAGCCGAAAGTTTCTATTTCTTGTATAAACTCCTACATCCAAAATTAACAAAATAATACAAATGTATATTTTCAGTTATTAGTTTTTATAGCAGGCATATATTATTTTATTTTTATGTAAGACTGTAAACAAAATCAAAGTGATATATAAATTAAAAATAAATTGGAGTTGGGATGGAAGAATGCCACATCCAGAAATGGTAACTAGATTATTTTAGACCTTGCCTTTGTCCAATCATTCCCTAAACCATCTTTTGAAAAGTTCAGAGGTTTCACAGTACATGCCAATTTTTCTTCAGTTAAATTTTGTATTAAGTATAACATTCATACAAAAAAAAGTATAATTCATGAACGTACAGCTCAATGAATCATAAAGTGAATGCACCCTTGTCACCACACCACCCACGGCAAGAAACAGATCACCAGACCCCAGCCAGTACCCACTGCCTTCCCAATAGAGGTGACCACTGTTCTGTCCTTTTAAAATCAGAGATTAGCTTCGCCTATTTTTGAACTTTATATAATTGGAATCATATATAATTGAACTTTATATAATTGAAATCATATAGTACGTGTTCTTAAACTGTTCTTACTGTCTCTAAGATTCATCCTTGTTCTGTGTAGAGCAAGATCAGTATTCATCAGATCGATGAATCAATATTCATCAGGTCTATCTTTTGGTACATAAATAAATCTGGACATACTTTTGAAATATTTCTTTCTAGAAGATTAGGGAAATTTCCTTGCTAGTCCAATAATCTAACTTTCAAGGCTAGAATGGTCATGAATTGGGGTATTGTGTTTGGGGTCTTTAATACTAGGGTGGAGGTAGAGCAGTTATTGGTTACTACTGCTCTCCCTCTATAAAGCTCAGTTTTGCACTTCTCCTAGTTTAATGCAGGCTAGTCCTCCTGGAGAGGATTTGCTCCTCTGCTGTAACTCACATGATTGCTCATGCCCAAACCAGTACACTGCACTTATCTGAGCATATTTTTAAATTCTGGCACTTGGCTGTCAGGGGTGCTAGACAGATATGCAATCTTTTATGTTTGTTTGTATTTAACAAATTGTTGTTGTTGTTAGTTGCCCTTGATTTCAACTCACGGTCACCCCATATGTGCAGAAGGGAACTGCTCCATAGGGTTTTCAAGGCTGTGACCTTTCAGAAGCATATCGCCATGCCTGTCTTTCAAGGCACCTCTGGGTGGGTTCAAACCACCAACCTTTCGGCTAGTAGTGCTTAACCATTTGCACCACCCAGGGACTTAAAAGATATGCAATCTATAGCAGGTACCTATTACTGGTACCACTGTTGGCCTGGTTATCTCGCCTATAGCTTAAACCTACTTTCCCTCAACCTTTAGATACTGAAGCTCTCTGAGGTAGAATGGCAAAAGTTGCTGCTCTTACGGCTTTTTGAATCACAAACTAAAACTTGAGTATTAGAAATGAGGTTGGGTTCATCAAATTGGAGGTGTCAGATCAGGCCTGTGTATTATCTAACCAGGCTGAAGTCTTGGCAGCCTAGTCTTCATACTTTCTCAGATTCAGAGAGCAGAAGACAGCATGACTGAAGAGGTCACCAGGTTGATCATAGCAGGAAGCTGATAAAATGTCCCCTACCACTACCAACAAGCCCACCACTACTGCATAGCTCTTCCATGAAGACAACACTCAGCCTTACTTTACCACATAAAAGTACTATTTCTATACTGTGCCTGTTTTTCAATTTATTTAATCTAATTCAGCCTCTCAGTAGTGTTGGAAAGTGCTGGTCCCCAGACACGAACCCTTTGAGCATTTCAGAGCAGAAGCTAACTACACCATTGTCTTTTGGAGCTCAGGCCAGCCTCGTGCTTCTGTCCCACAGGGACCTCTCTAGGATCTCTGAACAGAAACAAAGTAGATTCCTAGCACCTGAGCTCACTGGTTACATTCTGCTAGTGACTCCACTGTTATCATGGAGAAGCGGTGGTAGCACAGTGATAACTGGGCACTGACTGGTCTCCTACAGAAGTACACAAGGACAGTCTAATAAGAGATAGCTGTCAATTTTACTTACCTAGATCTACAAAAAGATGCTTTTCTCCTATGTTATTCTTCACAACTAAAAATGAAAGATCAGGACTGCTTTGCTTAGCGGACCCCAGCCTCTTTAGTTTCTCTGAATTCAATGTCCAACTCTCTCTTGTATCCTTTTCCATGGACATTGTGTTAAAGGAAGTTCCTTGTTGTATTGATGCTTCAGAAAAATGGGAAAATCGACAGCCTGTTGTCTCTGGAGTCTTATCATCATCTTCACTGGCAATTAATTTAAGTGCAGGCTGCAAAATTTTTCTCACAAAATTACCTAAGGAAAAAAAGCATTATGATTCATCTAATTCTTCTTTTACATAAACTATAACTTAAAATCTAAGTTATAAATCTACACATAATTTTACACAGTAAGGCTTTCTTTATTTTTGGTTTTAAAATTGAGTAATTACACATATCTAGATAAACTGTAACATGTCAACATGCCTCTCCTGTCACTTCCTTCCTCTTGTGCCATCTTTTACTTTTTCAATTCCCACTGACATGGGCGCTTGGTGTCACTTGTAAACAAAACATTTTAGATGGGACAGTTAATTTGAGAAGATGTGTCAGTGCTGCTACAATGGATCTGAGCCTAACATACTGTCACAAAAAAGTGTCACTTTTATTAATACAAACTGAGTAAAATTATCTAAAATTATCTTCACAATGATTAAAGAATGAAGGGTTTACGCAAGTGAACTGTGTGTGCTGCCGAGATAATGCCCGTATCCATGGAGACAACCTCTGCCACGTCCTCCTTGATTCAGGATGTCAGTGAATTTCTCAGGAGCTTATTCTCACCCTAAAAACCCTGACATTCACAGCTGTCAGCTCCAAGGCTGTTGCTACTCCAACTTCTCCCTCAGAGTGAGGGGCACAGGATGGGTCAAGCCTCATAACTAATGTCCACTTTCTCCCCTATTCAGTTTCTTCCTGCTCCAAGGAAAGCACAGCACTGAGCAACAGGTTTCTTAACACTAAAGCCACTGACAGTCAGACTGGGGATTCAGGGCTATCAGGAAGGACTACTGAAGTGAAAAGATTGGGTAAGGTGGTACCAGGTGAGGGAAATTAAGGATATTTGGGGAGGGGATAAATTGATGCTAGACCATGATAAAAGAGAAGAAAATCTGACTGGTCCAAGTATATACTACAGTGTGCCTTTTGCAACATACATATATAATAATACAACACAGTGTAATAGAAAGAGTAAAATCTTTGAGTTTAAACCCCCACTGCCATTAACCAGATGTGTAAACTCTGGGCAAACTACTTAATGTGTCTGAGCCAGTTTCCTCATCTGCAACATGGTGAGAATAATAGTAACTGTGTAGAGTAGTTATGAGGATTAAAGTAAAGCATTTAACACAGAGCTTAAAATTATTAAATGACCACTGTTATTATAAATTTGCATTGTAAGAGGTTACTGTCATCTTTTTTATAAAAGACATTGGCTTTTGGGAATTATTTAAAAGAGATTAAACACATTTATTATGTTTTGACATTTATCTAAAGAACTCTGAATATTACTGGTCCAATCTTTACAGTGAAAGTTGGTAAGACAATTAAAACTTCTTTAAACTCTTATATAGTATTTATACCATAAAACGAAGTCATAATTTAGTTATTAATTTGCTTCATATAGAATAATACTGGAGAAATATACTATTGTAAGAAAAGTTTAATTTTAATGTCTAAAACTGTCATAAGTTTAGTTATCACTGTATTTACCATAGGCTTGAACCCTTAAATCGTAAGAGACACGTATTCTAAATTCAAAATTCCCTTTCCCCAAATTAGACTTACTTTCCTATTCAAGGAAACAAATTTTATTTAATACAAAACACTAAACATCAAAATGAAAGCAAAAGCATTTGATCCTTGCAATCATACATAAACAGGATTAATTCTGGAATGAGAGCAATAAGGTAAACACAAAAGTGAAAAGAAATCAGGACATAGAAAAGGACAACAAAGTAATACAAACATAAATTGATACAGTTAATTTTCCAGGAAACTTAAAACTGCATGTACTTCTTGTTTTGTGTCAATGAGTCAATTCCTACTCATAGCAACCCTATATGACAGAATGGAACTGCCCCATAGGGCTTTCTAGGCTATAATCTTTACAGAGCAGATTGCCAGGTCTTTTCTCCCATGTAGCCACTGATGATTGAACTGCCAACCTTTTGGTTAGCCGCCAAGCTCAGGGTCAGTTAGACAAGTAAGAGCATGGTTACAGATACCAGTTGTGATGATAGTGCTGAGGAGGCTGGGGAGGCCTTTGAACCTTGGCAGGGAGCTAACTGGTACAGGCTATGATGGTAGTCAACCAGCATAAATACTAATATGCTGGCAATTAGTAGCAAAATTACTCTGCTTTCTAGTTCCCTTCCCCAAATCTCATCATCCCCTTTCCCATCAATACAGGGACTATCTTATTGGCTGAGAATAACCTGAAAGAACTAAGCAATCATAGAAACTTCAGCTACTATGCAGGCTGGCAGAAGAGTATTTTTAAGCAGATCAAATCTACACATTTTGCAAACATTCTATGATCTCTTGCACTTCTGAAAGACTGATAATAGGAACTAGAAATGTAGTCAAGAGATATATAGAGGGAGGAGAACCGAAGCGGAAATTCTGGACTACTTCATGTTCTCTGCTTTTCTGCTTCTGGCAGTTCCTAATTATAGGGGAAAGAAGACTCAGGGAATTATGTCTCTCCTTCTAGCCATGCCAGACTACCCATCACTCCCCAAATTATCCATGAATTCATCTCTCTACACTTTTGCTCATGGTGTTCCCTCTGACAGTAAAGCCTTTCTTACCTTTGTCTATATGATGAAATTTTATCCAAAGCCCACCTTGAATATCATCTGCTTGCAAAAGATAACTGCAGCAGCGACTGCTAGGTACCTAACAAATTTCTACTCTCCCCTTCTTCCCTAGCAACAGATTCAAAATTTTCACTTGCATGGCTAGGAGTCACAGAGCAGACTATGAGAGTAAACAGGAATCAAAGACATATCCTGCTTAGGGCACTGCCTCAATACACGGACAATAGAACCTACTTAACATTTAGTCATTCATTCAGCAAATATTCATTAAGTGCCTACTTGTATTTGTTATTGCTGTTGTTTTCATTATATTGTTATTATAACTATTATGTGCTAACCTTGTAAATACAATGGTGAATATGAAACAATCTCTGCCTTAAAAAAACATTAAGTGGAATCCAGGAATAGGGAAAAAAAAACAAAGAGGAAATTACCTCAGGAGGGGGTAAATGTTTTGACACATCAAGCAATAATGCTATCCAGAAGCCAGAGGAAACACCTAAGTCTCAGGGTTTGGGATGTGACAGAAAAGGCTTCTCAAATGACTTCATATTTCCCCCAAGTCTTAACAGACCAGCAGGACTTACCCAGGTGAATTAAAGGTATGGGAATAACTCAAAAGAACTAATCCATATAGAAATTTCAGGTACTATCACGGGCTGGTTATGAGTCAGAATCGACTGGATGGCAACGGGTTTGGTGTTTTTTTGTTTGGTTGTTTTTATCACAGGATGGCAGAAGAGATTTTATTTTTTAAACAGTGCACTTACCAACATGAATGTTATCTTTAAATGCCACATCATGGAGTTGAAATATTAAATGGCGGCTAAATTTTTCATCGGTGCTAGAATCCAAATTGAAAACATCTTCAGCTGAACAATTAACATTGTATAATTCTCGAAGTGCTTTACAAACATGCTAAAAACACAAGTAAAATATAAATGATTTGTACTTTTAATTTATTTTTAAAATTTTCCATAAGCAAAGTATAGTCCAGTATCTTGGTATAAGTAAGTCTAACTAAAGTTTTTTTTATTTTTGTTTACTATCAGAATATTTAAATATAACAATTTTAACAAATTATTTGTAGACTGAAATATACATCATATTTAAATTATACATGTTAAAAAATTCATAGACTCTCAGGATTAAAGTCATCTGAGAAATAAAACAATTTGTACACTGATCTCTACAATCACAATAAAATTATTTCTTCTTAAGCAACTCTTTAAATTTGATCTATGAGTTGAAAAGTCATAGTTTTAATTATTAGAAAGTTCCTCATTCATATTAAGCCCAAACCTACCTCCAAGCACAAGGTCACTGGGGCTAGATGATACTGACACTGCAGGCAGTAATGCATTGTAGAAAGGCAACAAGCATAATGGTTAGGACACAAGATCTGTAGTCATAGAGATCTAGATTTCAGTTTTGGCTTTGTCACTTACCAACTCTATGATTTTGGTCAAGTCCAAACCTTACTTTCCTCAACTGCAAAATGAGATGACAATAAAAAGCCAAACCAGATGCTGTAGAGTCAGTTCTGACTCATGGCAACCTCAGGTGTTCCAGAATAGAACTGCTCTCCAGAGGGTTTTCAAGGCTGTGACCTTTCAGAAGTAGACCATCAGGACTTTCTTCTGAGGCGTCTGTTGGGGGGGCTCTAGAATTGCCAACATTTTGGTTACTGGTCGAGCTTTTAACCATCTGTTAAATGACTCCATTGGGATAATAATAAGATCTAAACTCTTGGGTTCTTGTAAGGAATGAATAAGAAAATGAGATTAAAGAGTTAGCACAGTACCTGGCACATGTAACTACTTATAAGTATTAGCTGTGCAGTCTTAAGACAAGTCACATCTCCTTAAGTCTCAGTATCATTTGCAAAATGCAGCAATTAAGAACTGCCATGCGAGGAGGCAGGGCCAAGATAGTGGAATAGTCAGATGCTTCCTGTGGTCCCTCTTACAACAAAGACCAAAAAAAAACAAGTGAATTTATTATATATGACAATCTAGGAGCCCTGAACATCACAGGCAAAGTTGAGGAATCAGACTGAGTGGCAGGGGTAGGGAGAGACGGTTCAGAAGCAGCGAGGAGTTGCCAGAACTGACCCGGTGGGAGCCAGCGCCCTTCAGGCTGGATTGGCTCGTATGTGCAGTGATGCAGGCAGTGGCGCTCAGGAGGCATTTTCCACATCAACAGAGACCCAGTGGCAGAGTCTATTAGGGCCTCCAAAACCCGTGAAAAGTGGCACTATATTGGCAAAAGATAATTACTTGCATCTGGCCTACCGCGTGGATCAAAAAACATCCGCCTTAGTAACTCATGTGCGACGTGATGATAACAGTGCAAGATGACCTTCAAGGATTGCCAGGTACAGAATGTAACCACCAGAAAAAGAAAAAAAAAAAACTATAATCTTGTCCATATAAAAACTTCAGCTGGACTCCAAGGGGGAGACAGGTCTTTTGGAGGAGCTCATTCCCCTGTCTCCTGTATATCGATATACAATAAAACACTCTTGCTGCTCACCTCAAAAAAAAAAACCCTTTGGGAAAAACCTTTCTCCCATTCACCTCCCTGTTCCCCACAATGCACCAGGTCCAGGGCCAGCTTCAGTGACTGTCAAGTCCCCAGGGCTGGAAGTGGGACCAGTCACATGCTCTGAGACATTCTCTCAGCCTTGGAGAGGGAACAAATGAACAAACAGGGAAAAATTATCTGCCGGCTCCCCTAAGACAGGAACTCACAGTAGGCACAGCTCCTTTGCCTAGGCACAGAAATAAGGAGTCCACGGACTTTGAATGCCTTTCACCCCTGCACAGACTTGTGTGGGACCATTTCAACAGTGTGGGCCCTCATTACCACAGTACAACAGGGTATAAATCTCAAGTCTAACTTCACCTGTTTCAGCTGTGAAGTGGCAGGTTTGTGACATTTGACACTGCTCTGCCCATTAAGCACATACCTCACCTGCCCACATCAGGGCTTGAGGACTGGTGGTTTCACTCACACCACCTAGCCACCTACTACACAGGTCCAAGAATAAGTGGTGCCCCTCACTCCTTAGAGCCAACTGCATTGGGTGCTCATAGTCCAGCTGCAAAATCCACCCACCTACGCACTCCAGGGAACAGGGACACACCTTCCTCCCAGACACTCAGGGGCAGCCATCAGACCCCTGCCTTGCTCCACACATGACCCCCTACTGCAGCCAGATACCTGTGCCTACACCAATCACACATGCATGTCTAGGACTGTAGATGAGGGCCTGCACCACACACTTGGTGACTGACTACCTGGACACCTGAGCTGAATCCATACAACAAAAGTAAACAGACTCCTGGGCTCAAATACTTAGTAACAGATCGAACCACCTGGACACAGGTCGTTAGAGCTGCAAAGGCACCAATAATCAAACTAGGTCACACGAGCAGCCTATAAGGGCATATCAAAACAAAACAAAACAAGAAGCTAGGACAAGGTAAGCAAACATAGAATAAATAAATATAATAAATTATTGATGGCTCAGAGACAACAGTCAATATCAAATCACATGAACATGCAGACCAGGATGGCTCCAGCAAGCTCCCAAAATAAAGAAATTCTGGAAGAAGAAAATTTCTTGGAACCACTGGAGACAGAAAACCAAACATTAATATACAGAACTGTTCAAGAGATCAGGAAGGAGATCAGGCAAATCGCAGAAAAAGCCAAGGAACACATAGACAAAGCAATAGAGAAATTTAAGAAGGTTATTCAAGAGCATAATGAAAAATTTAACAGGCTAAAAGAATCCACAGAGAGCCAGCTATCACAAATCCAGAAGATTAAAAATAAAATTTCAAAATTAGACAACTAAATAGAAAGTCACAGAAGGAGAACTGGGGCAGTAGAAGTCAGAATTAGTGGGAATGAAGATAAAGAACTTGACAGCAACTTATTTCAGGAAAAAAATCAGATAGAAGAATTTTTAAAAATGAAGAAACACTAAGAACTATGTGGGACTCTATCAAAAGAAATAACCTACAAGTGATCTGAGTACCAGAACGGGGGGATAACAGAAAATACAGAGAGAACTGTTGAAGATTTGTTGGTAGAAAACTTCCCTGATACACAAAAGATGAGAAGATATCTATCCAAGATGCTCATCAAACCCTACATAAGGTAGATCCCAAAAGAAAGTCACCAAGACATATTATAATCAAACTTGTGAAAACCAAAAATAAATAGAGAATTTTAAGAGTGGCTAGGGATAAATGAAAAGTCATCTACAAAAAAGAGTCAATAAAACTAAGCTTAGACTACTCAGCAGAAACAGTGCAGGCAAGAAGGCAATGGGATGATATATATAAAGCCCTGAAGGAAAAAAATCGCCAGCCAAGAATTATATATCCAGCAATATTGTATCTCTAATACAATGGCGAAATTAGGGCATTTCCAGATAAACAGAAGTTTAGGGAATTTGCAAAAATCAAACCAAAATTACAAGAACGACCAAAGGAAGTCCTTCAGTTAGAAAATCAATAACATCACATAACAACCCAAGACCAGAACACAGGACAGAGCAACCAGATATCAACCCAGATAGGGAAGTCACACAAATAAATCAAAGCTAAAACACTGAAAATAGGGAAACAAGAGTTCTCAATATGAAAAAGATGACAACACTGAAACAAAAAAAAAGGGACTAAAAAATGTAGACACAGATTTTACATATGGACAGGAAGTCAAGGCAATATAAAGAAAGGAAAGACTGGTTTAAACTTAGAAAAATAGGGGTAAATATTAAGGTAACCACAGAGGAAGCTAATAATTCTACACATCAAAATAAAAAACAAGAAAAAAATAAAGACTCAGCAAATACAAAATCAACAACAATGAAAAAGATGAAAAGAAAATACATAAAGAAATACGATTCAGCACAGAAAATTAAGTGTAACAAAGAAACTGACAACAAAACACAAAAAAGACATCAAAATGACAGCACTAAACTCATACCTTATCGATAATTTTTCTGAATGTAAATGGACTAAATGCACCAATAAAGAGACAGACAGTGGCAGAATGGATTAAAAAACATGATCCATCTATATGCTGCCTACAAGACACACACCTTAGACTTAAAGACACAAACTAAAACTCAAAGGATAGAAAAAAATATATCAAGCAAACGACACTCAAAAAGAACAGGAGTGGCAATATTAATCTCTGAAAAAATAGACTTTTAAGTAAAATCCACCAAAAAGGACAAGGAAGGACACTATCTAATGACTGAAGGATCAATACACCAAAAGGACATAACTATAATAAATATTTATGCACCCAACAACAGGGCACCAAAATATGTAAAACAAACTAACAGCATTGAAAATAGAGATAGCTCCACAATAATAGTAGGAAACTTCAACACACCACTTTCGGTGAAGGACAGAACATCCAGAAAGAAACTCAATAAAGACACAGAAGATTTAAAAGCTACACTCAGCCAACTTGATCTCAGAGACATATACCAAACACTCCACACAACAGCAGCCAAGTATACTTTCTTTTCCAACACACATGGAACATTTTCCAGAATAGACCACATATTAGGCCATAAAGCAAGCCTTAACAGAATACAAAGCATCAAAATACTACAAAGCATCTTTTCTGACCATAAAGTCACAAAAGAAGAAATCAATAACAGAAAAAGCAAGGAAAAAACATCAAACACGAGGAAACTAAACAATACCTTGTTCAAAAACTACTGGGTTATAGAAGAAATTAAGGATGGAATAAAGAAATTCACAGAATCAAATGAGAATGAAAACACATCCTACCAGAAACTTTGGGACACAGCAAAACCAGTGCTCAGAGGTCAGTTTACAACAACAAATGCACACATCCAAAAAGAAGAAAGGGCCATAATCAAA